GGTCCACAACCACCCACAGGATGGGTATGGGGTCCACAACCACCCATATGATTCGTACTGGGTGCATAATATTGCATAACAAACCATAACCTGTCTATAATTGCTTAGTCACTAACAGGGCAACTATGCATAACTAGTAAAGATCGCGATCACACACTACTAAAATTCTCTCAAGTCGTCTTAAATGGTTTTGAAAACAATGACATTCCACGAGCATTCTTTTCCTATCTACGTAGAGTATTTCCCTATTCACAAAGTGTGTATAGGGCCAAAAAGTGCCTTAGTTACCAAAAGGTAGAAATGAGTCAACTTAATCTGAGTATTTATATGTTTCTGAGGGTGGTGAAGCAAGAGGGAAGAAGAGTGGGAGGTAGGAAGAGGAAGAGAGAGGGAGAGAGAGAGAGAGAGAGAAAGAGAGAGGAAGAAGAAAGTGGTGACATGACAGCCTTCGTCAGCGAGACTTTCTCACTCGGGGAAAGTTACGACTTGAGGAATAATCAGTTCTGTAGTTTACTGCCGGCCTCCTCCTCTCCCTTATCTGGGAGAGAGCAAGAGAGAGCGAGAGAGTGAGAGAGAGAGAGAAAGTAGCGACAGATAAAGTACATGAATTACATGGGTGAACTAGATAACGGGAAACCCATTCTCTCTTTTTCAAGCAGATATCCAAGTGTAGCGAGAGAGAGAGAGAGAGAGAGACCTTGATTTTGCATGTATGTGATCGTCAAATGTGTTCTGTTCATGTTTAGCATTCCTAATGATCGCTGACTCAAGGAACACCCTTGTTCCTTGAGGCCTGTCTCAAGGAACACCCAGACGGCAGTTGTCATACCAAGAAACGGTAGAACATCACCAATTTCAATATCTACTTTTCTCGACAATATTAACATAGCGGATATGTGTGTACATTAGAAATAATATTGCAATCTAATTCTCCATGTTAGTCGTACGCTGCTCATTAGGATTCCCTAGAAAATACTTACTAAATAGTACAAACTACTGTCCTCGTAATTTTAATGTTGTCTGACATACCTTCTGCCCCTATTCACGATCTTTGATATTCTTAAATCACCTCTTTAAGAACTCACAAGTTGTACCAAAATCTACCCGTACATGTTTCTTAGTACCTGGGAGATTTTTTTTTATCTTGAAGTTATCTTGAGATCATTTCGGGGCTTAGTGTCCCCGCGGCCCGGTCCTCGACCAGGCCTCCACCCCCAGGAAGCAGCCCGTGACAGCAGACTAACTCCCAGATACATATTTACTGCTAGGTAACAGGGGCATCAGGGTGAAAGAAACTCTGCCCATTGTTTCTCGCCGCCGCCCGGGATTAAACCCGGGACCACAGGATCACGCGTCCAGTGTTCTGTCCGCTCAGCCACCGACTCAACCTTTATAGAGATTATAAAAAATTATTATAAGGGCCTATAACAAGAACCTAAAGGGAACTATTAGGAGACAGCGCCAAGCCATTACGACTATATAGCACTTGGAAGGGATCAGAATAAGGATTTGGGATGGGACGGGGGGAAGGAATGGTGCCCCAACCACTTTGGGACAGTCGGAGATTGAACGCCGACCTGCAAGAAGCCTGACCGTCGCTCTACCAAGTGGAAGTAATAGACCTCGTTTTTTTTCTTTTGTCATGGTAACGAACGCTGGAAACTGGCCTCATAAAGATCTGCGTTTTCTATGCATCGGACTCAACAGGGTTTGGTGGGTTGCTCGGGGTTGGCGTCGTTTCTAGGTAACTTAGTAGGCTGGATTTGTTACGGAGTGACAAATTAAAACACCGATCTGTATGCAGACTATATCACGGAGGGGGGATAAAAATGCTCGAATTCAGTTTAATAAAAACGTTAGATAAACGTTTAATAAACGTATATTCAAGATTTTCAGTGTTTAATTAACGTTGCGTCAATGTTATCAACGCTGATTTATTCGTACCACGAGACATTTATTCGTACCACGAGACATTTATTCGTACCAGGAACCATTTATTCGTACCATGAGACATTTATTCGTACCAGGAACTATTTATTCGTACCATGAGTCATTTATCGTACCATGAACCATTTATTCGTACCAGGAACCATTTATTCGTACCAGGAACCATTTATTCGTACCAGGAACCATTTATTCGTACCAGGAAGCATTTACTCGTACCAGGAAGCATTTACTCGTACCAGGAAGCATTTACTCGTACCAGGAAGCATTTACTCGTACCAGGAAGCATTTACTCGTACCAGGAAGCATTCAATCACATGACAACTCACAGCAATTTGGAACAGGTGTAATATATAGTTGAACTGTTGGAGGTCACAAGCTAACAGGTTCGAATCCCATAGGATAAATACCTCCTCATTAACCCGCTGGGCGAAGTGCTTGTTAGAGACGGAAGCCAGCGGTGCAGGAGGCACTTGAACCACCTCGTTATCTCTGGGGTAACGAGCAATATTACTGCAGGTTATTACTAGGTAATTGTGGAGGGGAATAAGTAAAGCTCATTTGCTTAAATAAGTTGAGTGAAAAAAAATATATATGCATAATAAACTACGATCATATATATATTCGACCACGAATATATATATATATAATATATATATATATATATATATATATTATATATATATATATATATATATAAATATAGGCCTCTCCAACCATAACGAAGATATCTACATATTGTTCCTGTTAACTCACACATGGTAGTAACTACACAATCTACGACCACCTAGGACCTACGAGGTCGTACTCAACCCGTAGTTATTGTTAATGTGAACGACCTCGTAAGGCTTTGGAGCTCGTAAACTGCGTCAGATGCACAGACAAACTGGCGTGAGTTAAGAGCTTCAACTATCGTAAGTATGCTTGATGGAACACCTGGTCACCTGACAGCTGGGTGGATAAGTGGAGGGGTTATGCCTCCATGATATTGGAGGGATCACCATAGACCGTGCTATTTGGAACTTTTTGTTCCAAGTTCCATCACATTAAACTGCATGGGGTGCACAATAAACTACCCGATTCCATTGCTAACAATCAAATCAGTCTTCACAAAAACACTGTAAGAAAGGCTGGGATTACACCTTATGTTTGTAGAAGTCAAAGAGCAAATGCTGAATCAGTTGGATTTAGTCAAATTATGGAAAACTCTAGACGGTTATCCGATAAAACGCGCCATATATATATATTTTTTATGAGGGGATCATTTCATTTTTTTCCCGCCAGAAGCCAATGAGGCGAGGACAGACTATCAAAGAAATTTACAGATGATTTCGAAAAAAAGTAAAATCAGGCCAGAAGGATACATTTTGACCCGGATGTGAGAGTGACAATGATGGTGAGGGTGGTGAAGGTGGTGAAGAAGGTGATGGTGGGTTATTGGTTGTTATAGTGAGGGTGATGGTGATGACAGGGCCATGAAGGTGATTGTGGTGGTGATTGTGATGGAGTTGGGGAGTTTATGGCGGTGGAGGTGGAGTGTGTGATGGTATCACAGTTAGTTAGGTTAAGTAGTTTAAGTTATTGTAACTTTGAGACTTCAGTATACTATGCCACCATCCTTCCTGATCACCATCCTTCCTGATCACCATCCTTCCTGATCACCACCCTCCCTCACCACCACCCTCCCTCACCACCACCCTCCCTCACCACCACCACCACAACCTCCCACCACCACCTGCTATCCACCACCACTACCACCAACACCTTGAAATTCCACAACTCACCCAAGACATAATCCTACCTAGGCTCTCGCCAGGATTAATTCTTGTTAGGTGCGTTAGGATGTGTGAATCCTCTACCCCCCCCCCCCACACACACACACAGAGTAAGGGGAGTAAGAGTAATGGGAGACACGATCACTACCTACAAAATTATCAGAGGAATTGACAGGGTAGATAAAGATAAATTGTTTAACACGGTGGTACGCGAACAAGGGGACACAGGTGGAGACTTGAGTACCCAAATGAGCCACAGAGACGTTAGAAAGAATTTTTTCAGTGTCAGAGTAGTTAACGGATGGAATGCATTAGGCAGTGATGTGGTGGAGGCTGACTCCATACACATTTTCAAATGTAGATATGATAGAGCCCAGTAGGCTCAGGCACCTGTACACCAGTTAATTGACAGTTGAGAGGCGGGACCGAAGAGTCGAAGCACAACTAGGTGAGTACAAACACACACACAAACAGACCAGCATCTCCTGCAAGATACCAGAAAGGATAACGCAAATACGACTATTTAAACACCTAGAGAAGATATCAGATAAGAATCAACATGGCCTTACGGAAGGAACATCTTGCCTAACGAAGCTATTAGAGTTCTCGAACAAGGATACACATATGAGACAGGGGAAGGGAACTATCAGGGGTAAAGCGCCAAGTCTTTACGACTATACAGCACTGGGAAGGGGGTCAGGATAAGGATTTGGGATGGGACGGGGGGAAGGAATGGTGCCCAATCACTTAGACACTTGAACTCACGAACTGTTGGTGTTCGTGGTTCATTTGGGAGACCGGCTGGCTACTTTCTGTATGGTCTGTCGTTCGAGGCTAAGAGTTTCCAAGTGAAATGGTATTATCCACTATATGTATAGAAGTATACATAAACATAATACGCCTACATGTATAGAGAATATTCCTACATATGCATAGAATATACGTACACATATATAGAATTTACGTATATATAGAATATATGTACATATATAGAATATACGTATATATAGAATATAAGTACATATATAAAAAATATACGTACATATATATAGAATATACGTACATATATATAGAATATACGTACATATATATAGAATATACGTACATATATAGAATATGCCTACATATATATATTGAATATGTCTACACACACACCACACACACACACATATATATATATATATATATATATATATATATATATATATATATATATATATATATATATATATATATTATATAAACACACAATATTGTTCTGTGGAAGAGAAGATTGCTTACCATTAAGTGTGAGTTGGATGAGGAGAAAGAATGCACTGGAGTTGAGAGAAGTCAGAAGAGACATGACTTACGTTCTCCTTTATCTACTTATCTACACTCTATGCAGCGTTGATCCTCATGGCACTGTTCATCACACTACTGTTCACTAATCAACACACTTCATGACACTATACATGTATTAATAAGCAATATTTCCCCTCAATATATTTTACTGTACCTCTTCTTATATTTCATGAATGTCTATTTAGGTATAATTTTTACTTCCATTTTATTCTTGTTTTGCTGTTTCTCCTTGTGTTCATCTTCCATTGTTTCATTTGACATGTGTTCACTAGTTGTTGGGTTTCTTTCCTTTCATCTTTTTTAATCTAGGTTTCTGCTTTCTCATTAATTAATTATATATGTCAATTCTTAATTTATTTAGATTTATCGTTTTTCGTTATCCTGTTTTATTATTTACAGTTTTTTTTCTGCATATGTAATTTTTTTTCTATTTTCGTGTATATCCACACAACAGTTTACGTGCTTTTCCAGTCAGCCTTGTACTGGACCTGGTGGGAAATATTCCACGTTTTTTTTCACCTCATAAACCTGTTCACCAAATACTCCACCAAATTCCACTGCAAAAAGATGTATATACGTTTGGGAACTGATCACAACAGCAACAGCACACGCAAACAGAACACAACAGCAGCACACGCAAACAGAACACAACAGCAGCACACGCAAACAGAACACAACAGCAGCACACGCAAACAGAACACAACAACAGCACACGCAAACAGAGCACAACAACAGCACACGCAAACACAGCACAACAACACGTCACCAGCACAAACAACTACACAGGAAACATGCACGCAAACAGGACACACACACCAAACACGCACCCAATCTCAAACCAAACAGCAGCACCCACAAAGTTCTTCTCCCCTGTCAAGAGGAGAACAAACGTGAACAAATAATCAGGAAACAGCCCAATTTGCACTTAAAAACCCCCAACCATGATTGAACGCAACGCTCTTCACTGATAGCATTCAGGCCATTTCCTGTGTACAGCTGATCGCAGCCAATGGCCAGAGATGGCTATTGTAAAGCACCTGAGTGGCCCTCTGATAGGCACTCTGGCACAGAAACCAACGCCCGTTGGCTGAATCTCACATTAGGAGATTCTGATCCAATACGGACTGGCAGTTGTGCCTATTGAAACACGTGATAGTTTGAGTGCCTGTGACGGATTGGATATTTGGCTGACTGTGTGTGTGTGTGTGTGTGTGTGTGTGTGTGTGTGTGTGTATCACTCGCCTATTTGTGCTTGCGGGGGTTGAGGTCTGGCTCTTCAGTCCCGTCTCTCAACTGTCAATCAACTGGTGTACAGGTTCCTGAGCCTACTGGGCTCTATCATATCTACACTTGAAACTGTGTATGGAGTCAGCCTCCACGACATCACTGCCTAATGCATTCCATTTGTCAAACTGTGTGTGCGATATTGATTTGTCTCGTATGTGTTTGTCTCCCATGAGCTTGCCTGTGTGTGTGAAAATCTGCAATAGTATGTGTGTATGTGAGTATATATTCGTATATAATGATCTTTCAAAGGTTCCTATGATAGCATAGTAAACATGTAATACCATTCTACGATCAAGGAGACGTGGAATAAAGGTCTCTATTCACCATATAATTCGTAGGACTACGTGTAGCATCACGTAAAGACAGTCGTGAGGAGATTTACTCGTAGGTCCAAAGGGGAGATTGGGATTGATACAGAAAGAGAAGGATTGGGAACCGAGTCAAAACAGGAGTGGAAGAGATGAGATGGAGGCTTCCCAGCTCAGGCAGGAGGCGGAATAGGTGAGAGAGACAAGTGTGTGTGAGAGAGGCTGGGAAGGGAGATAAGGAAATAGATATGGGAGAGGGAGTAGATAGAGCAAAGGGAGATAGGAGAGGAAAAGGGTGTTAACTGAGGTGAGAGAGTTGAAATAGAGGAGGAATAGGCTAGAAGCGAAGAAGGAATAGCTGAGAAAGATGGAAGAGGCAGAGGCTGAGATGAGGGAAGAAGGTGGTGGAAAATGCGAGAGAGAGAGAGAGAGAGGAGATGGAATAATGGTGAGCTGAAAGAGAGAGGTGTGAAAACAGCGGATTAACGAAAGTGGGGAGGCAGAGAGAGAGAGAGAGAGAGAGAGAGAGAGAGAGAGAGAGAGAGAGAGAGGGAGAGAGAGAGACAGGGAAGGTAGGTGGGACAACTAAAACAGAGAAATAGAAAAGGATGGGAAGGGAAGTGGAAGAGCTCAAAGGAATAGAAGAGGGAGAGAGAGAGGCCAGTAGGGAAGTTAGAGAACTCAAAAACACATCGCAATAACTGTTCTGGACATATGATCATTGCTACAGTGACAAGTAACAGTGAAAATATTCTATAAAATAAAAAAAGCTTTAAGGTAATGAAAGAAGAAAGAAGAGCCATTGAAGGCAGTGGAGCTTGTCAAGGTCTCTTTCTCCTCAACCACTTAAAGTGATTGACGAGATCTTCTCCTCCCAATAATAATCTACAAAGCGGTGCTGGAGACTACCAGAGATGTCTCACACTATCGAGAATCAGCAAGAGAATCACAAGCAGGAAGCGCCCACAAAATTAGAGACTCTGATTCTCAAATTGTGCGAGTGTGATGTCCCCGAGACCTCTGGGAAAATATCGCACAAACACCCACCCACACACACAAACACCCACACATACACCCACACACACGATCAACCCCATACAGACATGCAAACAAGATTGAAACCTGAATATCTGTTTCCTTTGAAATGGTTGTTTAAAAATACCTCGAACCCAGCAAGTGCGATAAATCAGAGAGCTTCTCTCCCTGTCCAGGCTCAGGGGAGAGTTTACCAAGAAATATCAAAATGATGTGAAACGCAAATTCATGATGACCCAACGGATCTAGTATAACAAGGGATGCGAAATGTGTCTTCAAATATTGCTTCCAAACACACACACACACACACACACACACACACACACACACACACACACACACACACAAGAGAAATCGGGTTTGAGGACCCAGTAGGAATGAGCGACCACAGTGTAACTGGTGTTTGAGTACCTGATTGAAGAAGGGTTATTGAACTCGAGGAGGGATACCGAAACCAAAACATTAGCATACCGAACAGGAAACTATGAGGAGATAAGAAAATTCTTAACAGATATAGCATGGGAAACAGAGCTCAGGGGAAAGACGGCCCAAGATATGATGGACTACATCACGCAGAAGTGCAAGGACGCAGCAAACAAGTCCGTTTGCCCCAGTCCAAAAGGAAAACAGTGAAATGAAGATGAGAAACCCATGGTTTAATCTGAGATGTAGGCTAGCTAAGCAGCAAAGTAAAAGGGCATGGAGCAACTATAGGAATAACAGGACACTGGAGAGCAGAGAAAGACACCAGAATGCCAGGAATGAATATGTCAGGTTGAGAAGAGAGGCAGAAAGACAATACAAAAATGACATGGCAAGCAAGGCAAAGACTCGGCCTAAATTGCTGCATAGCCACATCAGGAGAAAAACAACAGTAAAGGAACAGGTTATGAAATTAAGGTTAGGGGCAGAAGGATTCACTACAAACGACAAGGAAGTGTGTGAGGAACTGAATAAGAAATTCCAGGAGGTCTTCACCTTAGAGCAAGGAGAAATTCCAGAGATAAGAGAGGGAATAGCTAACCAGGAACCACTGGAAGAGTTTGAGATTACCAGCGGGGAAGTAAGGAAGTGTTTACTAGAGTTGGATGTGACAAAGGCTATAGGCCCAGATGGACTCTCCCTTTGGATACTAAAGGAAGGAGCAGAAGAACTGTGCCTACCACTCTCCATAGTATATAACAAGTCACTGGCAACAGGGGAACTGCCAGATATTTGGAAAGCAGCTAACGTAGTCCCGATATACAAGAAAGGGGATAGACAGGAGGCACTGAACTACAGGCCAGTGTTTCTAACCTGCGTACCGTGCAAGCTGATGGAGAAGATTGTGCGAAGAAAGATAGTGGAGCATCTGGAGCGAAAGAACTTTGTAACACAGCATCAACATGGGTTCAGGGATGGCAGGTCCTGCCACACAGGGTTACTTGAATTCTACGACCAAGCAACAAAAATAAGGCAAGAAAGAGAAGGGTGGGCAGACTGCATATTTTTGGATTGTCAGAAAGCCTTTGATACAGTACCACACAAGAGCTAGTGAAAAAGCTGGAGATGCAGGCTGGAGTGAAAGGGAAGGTACTCCGTTGGATACAGGAGTACCTAAGCAACAGGAGACAACGAGTCAGTGTCAGGGGTGAGGTCTCAGATTGGCGAGACGTTACAAGTGGAGTCCCGCAGGGGTCAGTCCTTGGACTTGTACTGTTTCTGATATATGTAAATGATCTCCCAGAGGGTATAGAATCGTTTCTCTCAATGTTTGCCGATGATGCAAAAATTATGAGGAGGATTGAAACAGAGGATGATAGGAGGCGACAAGATGACCTAGACAGACTGAGTGAATAGTCCAACAAATGGCTGTTGAAGTTCAACCCGAGTAAATGCAAAGTAATGAAACTAGGCAGTGGAAACAGGAGCCCAGACACAGGATACAGAATAGGAGATGAAGTACTTAATGAAACGGACAGAGAGAAAGATCTAAGAGTTGATAATGAAACGGACAGAGAGAAAGATCTAAGAGTTCATATCACACCAAACCTGTCTCCTGAAGCCCACCTAAAAAGAATAACGTCTGCGGCATATGTGAGGCTGGCTAACATCAGAACAGCGTTCAGGAACCTGTGTAAAGAATCATTCAGAATCTTGTACACCACATATGTAAGACCAATCCTGGAGTATGCGGCCCCAGCATAGAGCCCGTACCTTGTCAAGCACAGGACTAAGCTGGAGAAATTTTAAAGATATGCCTCTATGCTAGGCCTAGAACTAAGAGGCATGAGTTACGAGGAAAAGCTGCGTGAAATGCACCTTACGACATTGGAAGACAGAAGAGTAAGGAGCGACATGATCACCACCTAGAAAATTACCGGAGGAATTAACAGGGTAGATAAACATAAACTGTTTAACACGGGTGGTACGCGAACAAGGGACACAAGTGGAAAGTGAGTACCCAAGTGAGCCACAGGGACGTTAGAAAGAACTTTTTCAGTGTCAGAGTAGTTAACAGGTGGAATGCATTAGGAAGTGATGTGGTGGAGGCTGACTCCATACACAGTTTCAAATGTAGATATGATAGAGCCCAGTAGGCTCAGGAATCTGTACACCAGTTGATTGACAGTTCAGAGGCGGGACCAAAGAGCCAAAGCTCAACCCCCGGAAGCACAACTAGGTGAGTACAACTAGGTGAATATACACACCCACTAAGCAATAAAAAATATTTTTATTGCACATATTATTACCGTTCGTGTTATTAACGTTAATATTGTAAATTTTGCATTTGTCGTTGTCATATTTTGAGCATATTTTCTCGTGTTTACGATGTCAATCTAATTTTATATATGCAATATTATTTCTTAATTAATATATGAGAATTCCTCTTAAAGATGTGTAGTAGGAATAAAAATCTAATTGTCTAAAATAAAAATTAAAATTTCAAAATCTGTTAGAGATATTAGTTCTAAAATTCTTTTGGAAGTCCTTACCTCTCGTTACTAATTTAACCTGTGATGATAACGATGAATTATTTAAGATTTTTAAAAATATAATTCGATAACTCATAGTGCTCTCGCAATGTTTTTTTCCGTAATTGGTGCTCTTATTAATTGGTAATTAATTGTTCTTTGCGTAATTGGTCTACTTGTTATACGGCTGTTCTCGTTGTCGTTGTTGTTTAAGATTCGCTACTTGGAACAAAATGTTCCAAGTAGCACGGGCTAAGGCGACCTCGTACTTTTAGGCTGTTCTCATATAACTGGTGTTCTCAGTAAATAGTTTTGTCTGAAAGGATGTTTTGCGTAATTAGTGTTGTAGGAGTAGATTTTTTTTTATAAATTGGGGGTTCTCTTAATTGGCGGGTTTTTGGTGTTGTCATAATTTGGCGTTCTTGTAATTGTTGTATTTGTGAGTGATATTCTAATAATTGGTATATTCGTAATTGATGTTCTTGTAATTTGGGCATTTGTGTTATTCATGTAATTGGTGTATTTAAAATATATATATATATATATATATATATATATATATATATATATATATATATATATATATATATATATATATATATATTATATATATATTATATATATAATATCATCGTCATCTCAGACACCACTGAGAAATATTTCTCAAGTAACCCAGTATTCCTTGGAAGGGAACTATCAGGAGAACCCTCCATGCCATTAAAACTATATACCACTTAGAAGGGATCAGGATAAGGATTTGGGATGGGACGGGAGGGAAGGAATGGTGATTGAACGGTCGGGGATTGAACGCCGACCTGCATGAAGCGAGACCTCTACTCTACCGTCCAGCCCATTCCTAGTACAACGAAACTGGAACACTGTTTCTGACATTGAAACTGACATTTGACTTTGTTCAATTTGAACAATGTCCTAATTTTCAAAAATTTTGCAACTTTTACGGTTCAACAAATACGATAGCAAATAATACACAACTGTATTCAATATAAGTACAAAATTCTTGCATTGCAACAGAATTTTGTACCAAAAAATGCAGTACAGGGTTGCGAATTTTAATGGAAACTTCACAAAAGATGTGTATACATATTAATGTATATATATATATATATATATATATATATATATATATATATATATATATATATATATATATATCTAATAAGACAATAATAGTCATAATATTGATGGTGAGGGAAATACCTAATACATGTGTATTAAAAATTAGTGTATTAAATGTATTAGTATTAAAATATATGAGTGTATTAAAACAAATTTTGGGATACAATCTGCATCTTTTCTCAAGGTACTGTGTATACAATTCAAAAATGTATACAATTTTCAGAACACTATACACCACATTGAGAAGGAATGAAAGTTACGTCAATAAATTAGTTTTTTAATACACTTGGGGGAATACATTAGGTATTTCCTTCACCTTCATTCATACACTACGGTATTGTAGCAAGTTCCTCCAATAATAATAATAATAGATATTATTTGCAAAAGAAATTACTGCTAAATAAATCTTTGCAAATATGCGTCAGAAATTGTATATAAAATATTTTGGTGAATACTAAACCTAAGATTTCATAATTATATTTTAAACCCTAATTAAACCCAACTAGGAAAAAAATCACGAAATTCCTGAGTGACATAACACTGCTGTGTCCATCACTCATGACTTTGTAATCAGCAAGTGATTTGATAAATATATTTTATAGTTTACAGTCTAATCACACGGTCACTTAAGGAGATCGAGGCACGTCAGCCTACACCAGTCACGACCGAAGGCTGGGAGCAGACTGACGCGAGCGACACATTGTACTGCTATCCACGGCTGCCCAGGCGCTCGTACGGCTCTTAACCCTGTACGGCGCGGCCAGACTTACGACCACCCCTTAAATATCCGACTACACATTACTCACTCAGGGAACCACTTGTAAACTTCACTTTATTTTATAAAGCAGTCAGCCGTATATTGCACGAAGTTGCACAACGCATACGTGTGCAACTTGTCAAGAAACGGGTTGGCAGTCATTCAAGTATCTCTGTGATTAGGTTAGTAAATGGGTCCTGTAGTACAGTGGTCTACGTTCTCGGCTCGCAATCGAGGGACCCAATTGTTTAATCCCTAGAGAGCGGGCAGGAACGGTTGAGGATGTTTCCTTTCACCTCATTCCTCTGTTCACTTAGTTAAATAGGTACCAGGGAGTAAAATCATTGTTGTGGGTTGTCTTCTGTGAGAGACCATGGCCTAAGGGGGACTTCGATAGTCCTAATGGGAACTTCGATAGGCCTAAGCACAGGCTTTCTTTTTCCAAAAAAGTCTAAACGGGAGTTGATATAAAAGGCAGCCAATGCTAAAAAAAAGGCCCCCAAATGCCAACAATAACAGAGAAGTACCATCTGAGCCTGAGTACTGACTGTGTTAATGAGGAAAATATCTAGAGTTCCAGTACTCAAAAGTGTTCCAAGATCCCCAAATCATTCGTTATTCTACCAATGCTCGCAGTTCTCCCCACTTTTCCCCCCAGAACCCCCCCCCCCTCTTCCCTCAAACTTCCCCCCTCCCCAGAACATCAATCCCCTCTCTCAAGCCTCTCTCCCACTTCCTAAACCTTCATCTCACTCCCTTCTCCCACCCCTTTTCCCTATATCTCTCTCTCTCACTTCTCGAAGCCTCTTCACTTTCCCTCTCTCTCTCTCTCTTCTCTCTTTTTCCCCTCTTCCCCCTCGATCGTCTTGAATAGTTACTGAGCTGCAAATTATAAACATCTAAATCTAACTTTAAAACATCTACTCTGAATACAATAGATAAATCACGAATGCCAGGGGGGGATTCAAATAATTTTGAGTTTGTTGCTGATTTTCCTCAGACACAACTGGTCAGAAAAAATAGCCTCTTGACCGTGTTGTCAGTAAAAATACCGTCTTGACCACGTCTAGTTAAAAAAAAAATATCTTATTGACCACATCTGGTCAGAAAAACTTTCGTCTTGACCGCGTCTGGTCAGAAAACCCCGTCTTGACGGTGTCTGGTGAGAATAAACACCCTCTTGACCGCGTCAGCTTCCTCACTTGCTCCGTCAAGGAGTTGGCCGCGTGCCGACACATGAGATTGGCAGCCAGTTGACCACAACGACATCCGCAACGACTTGTGCACCTCCACGCTAGACTGAATGAAGAGAATTTGGGTTGTTACCAAGAGGATTGAAGATATCAAGAGTATTAGGCTTGATATCAAGAGTATAAGGGGTTGATATTAAGAGTATTAGGTTATTAAGGCCTGTCATTCCTAGGAGGGTTATTAAGGCCTGTCATTCCTTGGAGGGTTATTAAGGCCTATCATTCCTTGGAGGGTTATTAAGGCCTATCAACCTCTGGAGGGTTATTAAGGCCTATCAACCTCTGGAGGGTTATTAAGGCCTATCAACCTCTGGAGGGTTATTAAGGCCACCACAATAGCTTACTCATCAACCAGTAAGTATATTTTAGCTCTGAACGTCCCTGAGAGTTCAGGTTTTTCAGTGTATATATATGTACACTGAGAAACAGGATACGTCGCTCTAACGAGCCTGGACTGAGGACAGGTTGCATGTAAGGAAATTATCAAGGGGTAAACGCCAAGCCATTTCGCCTATATAGCATGTAGCAAAACGATACTTTCTCAAACTTTATTTTTTTCAAACTTTAAAACTTTAAACACTTTTTTCTAAAACTTAATTTTTATGTTTTTTAATTTTTATTACTTAATTATTACTTAATTTATTATTAATTATTATTATTATTATTATTATTATTATTATTAATTTTTAATTATTATTAATTTATTAAATTATTAATTTATTACTTATTTTTTTATGTTTTTATGTTTTATGTTTATGTGCGGTCCATATTGGGGCTAGGTTCCACTCCGGCACTGCTGTAGTATACAAGTGCATGAAGGGCTTCGAACCCCACCATGTATGTGTGTTGTTTAAGACAGTCTATATCACCTTGACACAGACATGACACAACGACATAATGATCCATTTTAACCTTAAGAACCTCTTGGGTTAATTTAGCCATTAGGGGTAAAATCCCTGAGACATGTCATATGCTGTCATCTTGCTTTGTTAATGACTGTTACCACTCTGTAAACACCAGTTACAGAGACCAATTACTATTAACTTTCCTAAATGACCCTCATTAGGTAATTCGAACATAAGTGATCTTTGACAATTATTTCCAGTTGAGACAGGGCTTGTGGAAAGTAAAATGAGACTTCCGAGGAATTAGTTGTTTTGAAAGAGAATTTTCGACTCCCTTTGGAGTTGACGGAAGAAAGTTGCCTATAGCTTTCTAATTATTTAAATTCTAATTGCAGGAAACCGATTAGATTCCCCTCAATGGCTAACCATCCTGCGAGATGGGAACTTTAGTATACAAAAGTAACAGCCATTCGTGTAGTCTCTGAAGCTGTATAAATGCGAATATGCTAGAACATGTTGATAAAAAAAGTAGATCTGGATGGGAAGGTTCATTTTTAATATCCAAAAAAGGTGTAAAAAATAACATTTTCGGATCTTGTTAAGGGCACATGAAGTTTGAGAGATATAATAGGGAGCAGGTGGAGTACAGTGTGGATAATGACATATGGGAAGTGGAGGAAAGTTTCTGAAAATGACCGGTAGGAAAACTGTACTTTCAGTTGTGTTGCAATTTCTTGACCAACATCTTGGTGTGAACAGGCGCGTAGACGTAACTCTCAGGAAAGTATTGGACTCTTGTTCTCTCTCTCTCTCTCTCTCTCTCTCTCTCTCTCTCTCTCTCTCTCTCTCTCTCTCTCTCTCTCTCTCTCTCTCTCTCTCTCTCTCTCTCTCTCTCTCTCTCTCTCTCTCTCTCTCTCTCTCTCTCTCTCTCTCTCTCTCTCTCTCTCTCTCGAATTCACTTGTCATTCTTGTCGAGGAGGTATTTTCTTTTTCTTTCCGACTGGCTTCCCTGATTCTATTCGTTCTTGCACCGCCTTCCAGGATTTTGGTATATACACAACTTGCCATTTTAACCTTTTGTATGTTTATGATTTTTTTTGTTTTAACTCTGTGATTTGATGTTCCCTGGCAAGGTCTTTTTGCCAGCTTTTGTTAGCCTGTTTGGCTCCTTGACCTTTTCTTGAACCACCTTTCTTTTGAACGACCCTTTTCTTCAACCACCTTCTGTTATAACGAAATCATTCACCACGTCTTAAACATGTTTACATAATATTTTCCCAGAGACTCTCTTCATCCGACTTTTCCAGCTTCTACAAAACACCTCTTTACTCTAAATGTAAAATACATTCACTGTGTCTCATTCTTCACTTAGCATCAAGGTACCATTCAGTCTTCACTACTTAGTGAATTTCTCGTCCCGTGCTAAATAGCAGAGTAACTCAAATTGGAAATTCGTTTTGTAAACTTTTTTTTTTTTACTTCGATGGAAATATGAGAGATGTTGATCAAACCACACACTAGAAAGTGAAGGGACGACGACGTTTCGGTCCGTCTTGGACCATTTTCAAGTCGATTGTGAATGGTCCAATCGACTTGATTGGACTGTCATTCTCACAATCGACTTGAGAATGGTATAGGACGGACCGAAACGTCGTCGTCCCTTCACTTTCTAGTGTGTGGTTTGGTCAACATATTTCAGCCACGTTATTGTAACTCCTCTTCTAAATATGAGAGATTTTTTTTTACCAAAAGTCACAGATAACTGCACCAGCAAGCTTATCACACAGGCTCGCCTCCTGAGGCATTCATATCTCTTGGTTTTCCAACCGAGTTTCACTGTGCAAAAACATTTTATATTTTTCTACTGAGCACTGGAGAGACACCTCTTGGAGATGGGACTGAGGTTCCAGGTGGTGCTCCAGTAAACCGAGGGTCATTTTCATATGCAGTTTCAAGAATTAGAGAGGGAATTTTCACATGCAGTTTCAAGAAACAGGAAGAGAGTTTCCTATTGCAGTTTCAAGAAACAGGAAGAGAGTTTCCTATTGCGGTTCCAGGAGCTAGAGAAGTTTCCAGACGCGATATCAGAAGATTAGTTTTCAAATGCAGTTCCAGAGGACAGGAAAAGTTTCCAGACGATCTTTCAAGAGCCAAGGAGGAATATCTGACTATCCAGAGGACGGATGTGAACCACCAGACGCGGTTCCACGAGGAGGTATGAAGTTTCCAGACGCCGGTAGAAACCGGCTTGAGCAAGACAAAACCTCTTAGGAGCTTGCCAAGGACCTGTCCTTGTCATCTCCAAGCTCCCTGCGCAGTTCTCACCCGCTGGCTTTCTACTCCGATTTTCTTTGTCGAGAGATAGAGGAGAGGACGGCCAGAGGCCCCATTTTCAGAGATTGGTTACTCAAGATGTGTTCTGAAACGGTGGGAATTTTACGAAATAGTCTGGTTGTTTTCTTGAAGTGTTTATACGCTAAAGCAAGACATGGTGCAGACGCGTATATGTGAAGTTTATTTGGTGATGTATTTGGTAGATAGTGTAAATTTGTACAGGTAATGTGATTTTATACAGGTACTGTAACGTGGTACAGAGAGGAGTAAGGCACAGGTACAAGGTTGTACAGAGAGAGAGAGGGGGGGGGGAGTAAAAGTAATTATCAGGATATAGTACTAATCCATTACGACTATATAGCACAGGGAAGGGATCAGGATAAGAATTTGGGATGGGACGGGGGATGGAAGAAATGGTGCCAAACCCCTTTGGGACAGTCGGGGATAGAACGCCAACCTGCATGAAGCGAGACCGTTGCTTTACCGTCCATCCCAAGTGAG